CACACACACCCCTCATATGAAAATAAACTATATTAAATATTTTTTTCAAAATGGAAATATTACAGATAGTAACACTTAATTAATATATGGTTCATCCACATAAATACCCATATTTTTTTTTCATCATGATATACCAAAAGAGCATAATGTGCAAAACATGCTGATACTAAAACACGAGTAGAGCAGCAGATCTCAGTAAGAGATTGTCAGAATAGGGTTAATCCCAATGAAATAAAAGAGAACATTTGAGACGAGTGTGTCATGTTATATATAAAACCATATTGTGTGACACCTGATCCACAGGTGAGGCCATTCAGACACTGTAGATGTATGACTAACACTCACACTATCACACATTTTCTGTCCCTCTCACCCTTGCCTTATCTTTCATTTGATTCCTTTCTTGCTCACACATAAGTTTACAAGTTCTCTCGATCTCGCCTTATCCATCTAAATACACACACTCCTATGTCTGTCACTTTCCGCTACCCAACCCTCACGCACACACACACACACACACACACAACTTTACCGTAACAGTCCAAACAGCTCATATCTATTCTTATGAGGGCATTGTTTTTGTTGTTACTGTTCTAAATGTGCAGTTTAGAATATGAATATAGTTATGAGACATATTAAGGAGGCTTGAGAAAATATGATATTTGTACACAATCTTAGAAAATAGTTGTATATATTGTATACATCCGTTCAACAACAGTTTAAGGGAATAACGTGATTGTGTCTCCTCTAAGCATTTCATTCTAACAAAAAAGACAACTACATATTTGAATGAGATTCATTTCATTTGTGTATGTAAGAGAATGTTTATTTATCACTGTGTGGGTTGATTTCAAACACTGATACGAAGGCAGTATTTTTTTCATTTTCACTATGAATGTTTTGTCAGCTGTCATAACGGTTATGTTAACAGTTTGTGAGTAAACTCTGCTGAAATTGCTAGACGAAAAATTTCTGTTCATACTGTATTTTTCAGGCCCACTTCATCATTAAGAATGTGAAGAGGCAAAATTAACACTTTTTTTCCATTTTGATCCATAGCCATTTACTGTGCAGGTACTTAAATACACTTATAAATACAGAAATACATTTTAAATGTATTGGTGCAGTATAAAACAAGGTGTAGCCTGTATTAAATATATTAAAAGTGCATCTGACTTCCTAAACCTACACTACATCATTCTGCAAAGATGAAGAAAAACTTACTAAAAGTATGCGTTACAGCATATTTGGACAATTTCCACCATAATTTAATACATCTCTGAGTATGGAATGAATGTTAGGGCGTCTCAATTGAGAGGCTACAGCTGCAACTTTCACAAAATGGAGGAGGATAAAACACAAAATGGCCGCCTCTGATTTTACTTTAGAGTTTAGTTGATCTGAATGCTCCTACTGGCATCTAAACTCCACAAATATGAAGTTATGGAAACATTTCACTTTTGTATTATACAAATATATATATATATATAAAAAGATAAATACTTTATATTTATGGTAATATATGTTTGTATACATATTATTTTAATATACATAGGCTACATATGGAAACACATATTGTACATTTTGCATAGATTTTTGTGTATATTGTACATTTATTTTTGACCTATTTATTTGTCTTTGCATTAAATTAATTAAAGAACATATTAGAACATATTATCTTTGCACATTTTCAAAAGTCTGTATGCCAGGAACTGCTAATTCAAATTCTTTACTGGCAGCTTCTTGTTAGGTGATTATTGTGAATATGAATCAGATATATAAAGAGGAAATACACAAAAGTAAGCCTGTGAACACATACATCTGATGAACAAAATCCTTTATTATTTTCTATCGGGGCAACTACTGTTTTTAAGTAATGTCTTTACTCACCTCAGTGTGTGTCTTCATCATTGTTTTTCTTATAGCACTGAAAATAAATTCCAGAAAGGGTTTGGGAAAATGTCCAGAGGTGATCCACGACACAGATATGAGATCTGAAATATACAAAAAGATCATGAAGGTCTAGGAAACCATGAGGAATACAAAAACACTTAAAGGATTTCCATTCTAAATCTATATTTTAAATAAATGCAGTGCAATATAGTGATGGTTACTTTTTTTCTATATTAGAGTAAAATATATAAGATAACACACAAAGAAGAACAAGAATCCCTCACTCCAATTCCATAATAAAGCTGATTTTTTAAAAGTGGAAGCTCTGAATAAAACTATGCATCACTGTCAAACAGTGACATATTCATGCTATTACTAATAACCTTGAAAGCACTTTTATTGGTCAGAACACTTACAGAAAGACGGGTAAGAATTCCTGAAGAATCTCTCGGATCGCAAAGTCTGTTCTGATGGCAAAGATCTAAACAAGAAGCGTTAAAAGAAAAGAGTAAGAGAAAAGTACTATCAGAAAAATGAGTCAGATACAAATGAACACAAAAGACTGCTAAAAAATGAAGAGTTAGACATTTAGTTTGCCCTTATGATACACAAACGAAAAACTATTTTTAAAGCAGTGATCTAAATTTGTATGCAGAATAACTTAAGGAAAACCTTACAGATAAATCAATTTATGTTCATATTTTAAATGATGTGTTTAATGTGCAATAATAGATCCAAAGACTTTAAATTATATAACCAACACACACTATACATGAAAAAGAGGAAAAGCATATATAAAACTGAGAAAATTAATGATTAGAGCTCATTAAAATCATTTTCACCAATTGTCCAGGGACATTTTTTAAAGGCTTAAAAGCTGACGCTACTAATAATTCTTTTGAAAAACACACAATCTCTTTGTGCTCTTTGCAGAGCAAAATTAATGTGTAGCTTTTCAATGTTTTACAGCGCTCAAAAAATGAATAACCTCAAGTAAAAATTATTTATATACTATTATGCAAACAACAGGAATGAAGTTATGATAATACAAAGACAGTAGCAAAGACAGTGATGAAAAAGATATAATCGAATTTAAAATAATAACTGTTTGATTCAGAGTTAAAGAATAAGTGAAATGAAATATATTTTAGGGATTTAAAGCACCTGCCTGATTTTTAGTCAAAGAACCTTCACCTAAACCCATCGATAAAAGTGAGGCGAATTTAAATACACTTTAACAAAAACGGCTTGCTCAAATTTCTTTCATGCATCTATCATGCTTCAATGTTTTTTATCTTCGCTTTAAAAAACAAAAAGGTAACAAACACATCTGAAAAGTATTACCAGTATTATCTCATTTTTGTTTAAATAATTATCCAATTATTGTGCAAACTGGCAATGAGCTACATTTATTAAATCATCTGCGTAGTTTAGTTAGACATTACCAGTTTAAAAGCAAACTGAACACTTGCTTTAAACTATTGTTCATCTAACAAAAACCCTGTAATTGTTCACATCACAGTCACTTTTAGCCATTTTATTTCTCCATTTTTAATTATTTAACATGACTTGGGAGGGTTCTTTTAACACACGCAGGACAAAATGTTACACAATCATTTTTAAAAACGGTTTGTATGCAAAAGCATATCAGAATGAACTGATCTTGATGAAACAATTAGAATAAATGAAAACATCTTAAGAATAAGGAATCATAGGAAAGATGGGATTTTAGCCAGCATACAAACTGATAAAGCAGGAGGAGAAGAGATTAGAGAACAAAGAACAACGCTTCTTATTTTCAACTGGCAAGTTTTAAGCATACAAAAAAAGGTTTGGAATAGTGCATTGATGGACTTTGTTCTTTATACATTTTATTTTATCTATTTAATTTTAATCTCTTTACTAATTTGGAAGGGACTCTTACATTATTAGAAGAAAACCAAAGAGAGAGAGAGAGAGAGAGAGAGAGGGAGAGAGAAGGTCTGTGTTCACTTAAGAACAAGTAGTTAAACTACACTAATTACAAGAACTTACTGTTGTTCTGTCACAATTCTTAAAAAAAGAACAAGATAACTATATCATTTTTAAACAAGCTAATACTACTCTAAAAACTACAGAATCGAAATTTTGCAAATGCATCATTCTTTGCAGGATTTTCCCGTAAAAACATTACATTCAGTAAAATGCACATGTAAACAGATTGAATTCCCGTGTTCTAGACTAAAAATAAATGAACCAAAATATCCAAATGTTTAACCCTTACCAGAAAGATCCATGAATCTTTGAATGACACATTTTAAATTTCCATTTGAATTGGAATGGGGGACAAGACCAGACGCCTAGGTGCTTCCAGCGAGTCACTGAAAGCTTGAAATATCTGAAGCTTTATTCCTCACAAAAGGCTATTTTACTGAAATGACATGGACTTTCCTGCTGATACCCTTTCTGGGAAGAGGGGTGGTATATATATAAAAAACTATGAAAAGATAATAACAGCAGATTCTAAAGGAAAAGCTTTGGATGTCTGCATAAACACCAGCATTTAGGCTTAGCAGACATTAATTCTTTTAATAGGTTTAAATAACAAATTAACAAATATATAGATTTGATTTGATTTGATTTGATCTGTCTAACTGACTGGACCAGATTTACTGTCGGGTTAAGATAGGCAAGCAAACAAGGTTAATATTTTTAAAATAGCAGAATTTGTAGTAGCTTGATTTGCACTTATTTTTTCAAATTTCATTTATCATATATATATATATATAGATATATCTTATAATGAAAATTTGAGAGTATTTTTTATTATATTACTAGGCTACTAAATAAATGTTTTAAAACACAAGAAATTATTCTAAATAATATTTCATGCTAGGATTTGGTTCATTGCAAAAACACTCTAGACTTGTCTCTTCTATAAATGCATTTCATAATCCTTCTGCAAATATTAAACATTCACAGTTCATCTCAGGATCAATGCATTTACATGTTTTTCAATCCAATAATTTTTTGCAGTTCAATGCATACACATATAATTCTCAATTCATCTCGTATGATCGAAAATAAATGTTTAACATCCTCTGATCATGAAAATGAGAAGGGGCGCTGCGAGAATCGCTGACAGGTGGCAAATACAATTAATATATTGATGACATGGGCCAATGAGATCATCTTTAATTCATTTACTGTACATAGGCAGAGAATGCTTTTTGCTGCTAGAGATAAAAGTACATTAGCACTCGATATAATGGTCGAAGGGCATGGGAGGGGATTTTTACTGAATCAAACCTAATATGGACATCAAATCGGTCCAAGAAAAGCTGGCAGGGGAGAGAAAGGAGGGGTGATGGGGAGCAGGCAGAACAGCTGTGTTTTGATTGGACGAACTTGAAAATTACAAATTTGTTCTGTCCAATCACAAAGACTGGTTGGACACATAGCAACAGCACATTTCATTCCATTGCCGTTTCTCTCTCTCTCTTTCTATAGATTCTTCTGTTCATTTTTACAGTAAACCCGACATAAATGGTTGTCGCAAATGTCAGGTTGGTAAGAGAGGAATGTCTTTTGTTCCGAGCTTGAGCTTTAAACCGCAAGATGAAAGCGGTTGATTAAAGAGCGACATTCATGCCCATCCCCGTTACAAACACATCCTTCTGCTCCGAGCAGTGAGTCACTTTCAAACGGGCATAAATTGCTGAGTAATGTCAAGACTAAATCACTGCATTCAGGTCCAGTCACAAGTCTCTCATCTGTCTTCAAAGGTATCTTTTATCTCCAGACATCTGTATACACTATTCACTCACCGCCCATCTACCCCACACCGAACAGACACAGCTAAATGTGTTTATTCACAATATTAGCAACAAAACAGACCCCATACGACGGACCGAATGTTATTCTCAGAATGTTTTGTATTGCTTGTGCCGCTGACTAATTCCCCTTAGTCATTTATCTGGCTGTACAGACTAACTTTAACTCAGAAAACCGATGAGAGCTACATTCAGCAGCTATTTCAGAGTTTTATAGAGCGGTACACATGTAATCATGCCGTTATGTGACGTATTCATAATTCTAGTGGGAACTTTCCCTCTCTAACCACAACAGTGGGCATCTGACACGATGAATGAATAACCAGGCTGCTTGTTCTTTTTTATTTCAATCTATTTCAAACTTTTTCTCATGCACATGGAAAATTACCATTTGGCAAAGAGTTCAGCCACCACAACCTCCCCGCGTTTACCAACTCCAACCCAGCATCCCTCAGGGCAGGGTTTACCAGCAATTACATTTAAGAGATCTCGTCAAAGGTGCGCCTTCAGTAAAACCATGGGAGACAGTTTCGGCTCTCTGATATGTTTCAAGTACTATTCAGCATTTTTTTGATTTCAAGCTTTTGATGTTGGTCATCGTCACTTTTTTTTTTTCTTCTTAGGGCTTGTTTTTAAGTTCATAAGTTCAGAGGGCATATCATTTATTTTGGAAGCAGTTTTGAGCATATTTCAGGACACGGATTTACCAGAAAACATTTTTGTACAAACTTCTGAACGGTTTTATCCCAAAAATACTGCACTTATATTTAGTGGCAGACAGCAAGTCACAACCGACTTTTGTTACCAGAGAAATGACGAAGATTGACGCATATAGACGAAAGACTTCCCTAATCCACATTCGCACCTAATAATATTCCTCTTTCCATGCCACATTCTACATTTACAGCTTCCCCTTACGTCAATGGCACCTTGGTAACAATAACAACACTCCTATACATACAAATCAACATTTACCTGAACCCTAACGCTAATAGAGTTCATTTAAAGAGAATAGTTAAATTTCTATCATCATTTATGCACTCTGCATATAATGAAACTCAATGGGATCCAAAACAACATTTGACTACGCTGCTTTCATTATATGAAAAAAAAAACACCAGACATTTTTCAAAATATCTTCTTTTTTGTTTCACAGAAAAAGAAAGTCATACAGGTTTTCAACTACAAATGGGTTACTAAATGAGTAAATGACGACAGAAATTCACTTTTGGGGTTAGCTAACCCTTTAATACAATTTTTTCTCTTTATCACATTTTTTATTTAATAAATTAAGGTAACAGATTTCAATGGTAGTTTAAAGTTTATTTGCGTCAGTTTCTGTTTCATTTATACAGAAAGTTAATTTGTCTGTCTGCGGAGCAAGTGAGTTTGCAAAAGCAAATATTACGCATGAACTAATACCGGAAAATCAGATCGCCAGCTGGGAGAATCACAGGAAGATCGTAATCAGGTTAAACCCTAGATTGTTCTTTCCCCCCCCTTTCTCAGATTATTAGTCCCGTCTTTTTTTCTGAATTAAACTCTTTCAGACAGGCACCAAGACAAATGTCTCTGGCTGCTGGCACACATGCCACCAAATATCAAAGTCCTTTATATGAGCCGCTCACACACACACTCTTTCTACGGCGTAACGCAGGAAGTGATTATGGGTGCCTGACGTAATCGGACTGTTCCAGGGAGGAAGAGATGAAAAAAATTCAAATCTATCTATCACAAGGAGGAAAAAAATGTGCACCCTGGAGTCCACGTTGACAAATTCTTTAACAAGCTGTGGTCAAAGGGAAGCTGGTTGAAGACTGACTCAGCCCCTCCTTTCAGCAGTTTACTGGAAACACGGGGGGAGGCAGGGGGAGGAGGGAGTTTCAGAGAAGTCACATGACCCGTAAGGGCAGGGCTAACCACAGCTCCGGGAGGAGAGGAGCGCAGAGGAATCAGGGCGAGGGGGAGGCAGATACATGCCCTTCCCCAAGCAGATGCCTCCGAATTGGGTTACTTATTCGACTGCCTGGGAGTTGGCAGGGGAGAATTCACAGACTTACTAACCCTTTCAGTGCCGGAAACAATGATTCAGAAGCATTTTTTAACAGTGTTACTCCAAGTTAAACAAGAAACCAGACATTTTTGCTTGTCTTGTTAACACTTGTTTTAAATAAAATAAAAGCACACATAAATATCAATTAAAAAAACGATGCTGTTTCAGTGACTAAAACAGCTGTTGATGACTATAAACGGATGCAGCTGATGAAGTCTCGTCTGTTGAGCTGCTTTGTGCCAGCCTCGCTCGTGTGTGTGCAGTCGCACACGTGCCATATGTCTGGTGATCTCTAGAAACCAACATGACGACACAGACACTTGACATACAATCCCATGCCCTTGACCTTTGGGCAAAGGACGTCTGGAACCATTCTGTTATGCTGTTAGACGTCATACAAGCAGAAATACACCTAGAAACATATAAACAAATGAGTAAAACACACAAATACCCATTAAATCACTTCCTGTGCTCCGTCAAAGCTGAACAACGTACAAAAAAAAAAGTAGACGACTACTCTATATTTGCAATGCTATTGCGGATACTGTCCTGGACAAAATGTAGTTTACAAAAAAGCAAGGGACATCTTTTTAAATCCGTTTCGGAGAAAGGGACCTGCTTCGTCTTCACTTGCAACGCTACTGGAGGATGATTTCGGATTCAAAGTGGCAGAAGATTTCAGTAGATTTAAAAACAAAAAAAAGCCACAGACGTAGAAAGCGTGTCGTCTTCAGTCTCAGAGTACATGAGGAGCAAAAGGAGAGATTTGGGGGGAATCAGGCTTCAGACTGCACAGGAAATACTCTCCTGCAGCGCCAGTGAGAGATGCTATGAAGCGGACGTCAGACTGACCAAACAGCGACAGAGAGGGAGTGAGAGATAGAAAAAGAGAGAGAGAGTGCAGGAGAGAGACAAATAGAAGAGGTACTGTAGAAAAGGCAACAGACACATATTGCAACTCGAAAAAGTCGTGCAAAATAACATGTCGGTTTTCTTCAAACAACTCAGGCTTTCATGCTCTCCTCTCATTTCTGTTCTGAACTCCCTTTAACTTTGCTATCCCTCCCTCTCTCTCTATCCCCACTCCCTCTTTTGCTATTAGGGAGAAATGTGAGGAAAGGACACACACATTTACACTCATGAACAAAGTAAATACATTTATACAAAAATATGAGTGGTTCTCAACTGGTGGTTCATTACCCCATCTGTGTTTATGAAGTTATGGACTACAGGAGAAACTATGGGGAATATAAATAATCAATACTCCTCCCATATCTTATATTGTTGACATTACAGCCTGTGTGTCTAATCGAAGCTACATTATTTTGGTGTAAATTAATTTGTTAAAAGTTAGTCGAATTAAATGTCAACATGACTACTGTGTTTTTTTTTTTGTGTGCAGTGAATTATTATTATTATCATTGTTGTTGTTGCTGCCGTCATTTTAAAGAAAAATTAAGATTTTTTTTTTACTGTACTGCATTGGGTAACTTGATATCTAATGCAAAACCGACATTTATGAGATAACATACATTATTAGTCAGAGTACCAGGCCTGTCTAAGTGTAACAAAATGTTAAAAAAACAAAAACAAATATGGGCTTGCACAATTGATGGAAACTGCACATTAATCTAAATGCAGCAACGCTGTTATGTAATCACAGAGGATTTTTTTTTAAGTGAAATGATTGGCTGCTGAGGTGCAGAGTAATTCAGAAACAAAATGACCACATGTCAAATGAGTCACGATACATACTTCCATCAGTGACGGTTTGAGGTTAACAACCAAGATAAAGGTTCCCCGTAAGTCTGACATGACCAGAAACATCCTATTCACATGAAAAACTGTTGAGAAAGAACTACATCTGTCATAACATATGCCAGAACACGCACATGAACTGTTCAGATATCTTTTTATTGGCTGCTTCAAGAGAATGTTTTAAGATGGGTGCAAAACACTTCTGAGGAAATACTGCCCATGCAAAACCCAGCACCATACTGCCAGGATGATTGTCAGGGTGATGCTATGCAGTTATTAAAGTATTCTGAATTGCTATGCCATTTCCATGGCAGTTCTGAATGGTCAGCAAGTTGTTATGCCATTACTAGTGCGTACTGAATGGTTATCAAGTTGCTATCCTATTACTAGGGCATTCTAAATGGTTATTAGCAATCTATTTGCTATGCCATTGCTAGGGTGTTCTGAATGGTTAACATGTTGCTGTGCCATTGCTACCATGCTAGGGATTAGCATGCTGCTATGCCATTTCTAGGGTGTTCTGAATGTTTTTTGTAAGTTGTTTTGCCATTTCTATGGTGTTCTGAATGGATAGCATGTTGTTGTGCCATTGCTTTAGATTACTTTTTTATGGATTACATGATTACATATTTACACAATAGAATCAGAATCAGAATCAGAATCAGAAGAGCTTTATTACCAAGTATGTTTACACACACAAGGAATTTGACTTGACGACAGGAGCTTCCAGTGTAATAGAAAGTACAAACATAGTGCAGACATACATGATAGTGCAGGCATACATAGGAATAACACAGTAGGGATGTAATATAACACTAACATAATAAAAAAAATAAAAATTGAATAATGTACTATATACAGAAATAGAAGTATAGGAACAAATTTAATTGTTTAGATAAATGTACAGATATGTTTATTAGTGTGCAGATATGTTATTTACAAAGTGTGCAGTTTAATATAAATATAACTATGTTAGTTGTGATGGACGATGTATAATTATGAAAGATTAATTGTTCAGACTGAGTATAGCCTGTGGGAAAAAAAAAATATTGCAATAAATGATTCATAATTTATTGATTCTCCCTTACTCGTCTTTTTCATCTTTTAAATTTTCCTTTTTAAAATAGCCTACAGCTTGCATAGACTCAGAAGGTCTTCCAGTTTTGTGGACATTCACATAAAGACTGGTCATTAGTCAGTTGGACACACAGCATTTGACCACAGGATTTACAGAAATCATTTCAGGTTTAAGAAGTGTTTCAATATTGCATCTACTACTGATTGATGAATAATGAATATATTATACAACTTATAATGAATTAATTTTATTTTGAATTATCACTCTGTAGGTTAAATGTGTCTTTGGAAGGCTTTTGTCTTTCAAACATAAAAATGTACAAATTTACAAAAATGACTTATTTCAATTTAACATTTTTTATGATTTAATTAATTATTAGCTTTTCATTAAACTCATAAACCCCCTGCAGTTCCTTCACAAATAGCAGTTTGGGAAACCTTGATGTAATATAATATAATATTTAATACACGTAATGTTATTAATAACAATAAATGGAATATACTTTCTTATGCTTTGTATTTCTATATCAATATGGTACAAGATTATCCTATTTAAATCAATGTGATAAACGAGTTAGGTCAAAAGTAATCTAAAAGTATAAAAAGTAGGCTGATTATATTACCTAAAATGTGTAATGTAACGATTTTTTGTCATGTAATTTGGAATCAGTAACGGACTACAATTCGAAAAGTAATCTACACTGGTTGTTGTTAGTAATTGTTGTTATGACATTTGTAGTGTGTTCAGAATGGTTAGCATGTTGCTATTCCATTGTTAGGGTGGTAAGGATCAGGTTGCTACTAAAGTGTAAGTCTACGTATATTTTTTATTTTTTGGCTTCTCCTGCACCTCTCCAGTGCAGGATGACTTACACATTGAGGAGTTTTTCGAAAAAAAGTGTGAAGTCAGATTGTTGGACACCAGTCTCCAGAACAGTTGGTTGTGTTTACGATTGGATGAGGCTATTGTGGTTAAACTCCTCTTAGTCATTATCACGGTTGCCATAGTGATGGGCCTATTGGTTGCAGATTAATCAGAGGAATAAATCATGTGATATGTCTCCTTAGTAATGATAGGCAAAAAGCCACCAACTCTTCCTGGAGTTTTATGGGATTGTGATATATTTGAGGTTTCATTCATTCAGCCAAAGTTTAATACTTAGTGTTAGGAGTTCAAATCCCTAATCATAAGCATTAGTGCTAACAGTGATGCTTGTCTTAGCAATTCCCTCTAATAAGAGGTTTTCGAGAAACGAGAACAAGAAACAGGCATCATGTGAAACGTGGGGGTGTGGTTGTTGAATGAATGCAGGATAGAAAAGAGGAATAAAAAGAGTACTGAAATAAAAAATAGCAAGAGAATAAGTAGGTCAACAGGAAAGGTGAGAGAGAGGGAGGGATGAATGAATGAATGTGATATGACCCACCTGACGATTCTTACCATTGTTGAGTGGAACAGCTCTGCAAACTCCTCACAGGCTTCATCACCCGGGCCCGTCCCTGACAACCCGCCCGCCCGGGCCGTGAACAACACAGGGATCTCCCCTATCTCCGTTCCCACACCATACACCCTGTGAACACACGCCGCACAGGAACACTGATATTGTATATATATGACTGTGCATAAAAAGCCAATGAATTCTTCACAGATCCGCATGACTTCAGGATTATTTTATCTGAAATCAAAAAGCATTGTTCCGTTGGTGTATCGAATTATGACAGCTAAAGTTCTGAAGAGTTTTCTCCTCTCTTGCGCTGTTGTCAGGTTGACATTAATAGGTCTGTTATTTAATCTGGACATCCTGCCTCACATCCTGTCTCTTCAAAACAACTGGCTTTGATGGTGGCTGCATTACACATAAAGCAGTTGGCCCTAACCTCCTGGGCAGCTGTCCTATTCAATGCCACTCAGTAGGAGGTGTTTGGTTAGTGCGAATGTGTGTGTTCCACCTGCCCCTTGGGTGGGGAGTGTGGAAAGCCCACTAATGTCTACAGGGGGTTTGCAGGGTGGCACAGGAACAGATGAGCTCCGCAGGAGAGGAGAGCTCCACTTTCCCTGATAAACCGTCGCCAACATGGATGGGTGTGTATGTGTGTGTTGAAGTAAGTAACCCTTGCCCTGAGAATACTCACCTTTGAACGGACAGGAACACGTGTTTGTGTATATGTGTGCGGCACGAGTCCTGCCCCCTTCACCGTAGAAAGCCCTGAGGGTAAAAACACACACATGAATGTGTCGTTAACGACCTTCCTGCCAATGACGGTGCTAAGAACAAGAATTATGACATCGTCAGTCTCCTGGACAGTCTGGCACAGCCAGGTGTTTTGAGACCCATACTGCCGCCTTCACTCTCGGTTTGCTTTACTGAAATGAAACTAACACAGGTTAGATGCAGACTCAGAATGGAGAAGACCAGATTTTTGGAGGTGAATGGTATAAAACCAATAGAAAATGTAGGAAAGCACATGGTTTATACTGAAATTACTTTGAATTTATAATATTAATATCTATATTATTCTTTGTATTAATGTCAATGTATTAACATAATATGAATGTACACAATTTTGTGTGTTAATCTCAAAGTGTATCAAATGCTCATCCTCTTTTAGTTTGAAAAAAGTCACACTGAGTGTTTTACTCACAAAAAAAAAAACCATCCAGTAAAAAAAAAAAAAAAGAAAATTTTATTGGAGCTACGAAACAGGAAAACTGATAATTGTCCATTATGGAATTTACTATTTAATAATTTGACAACTTCAAACTGAATTGAAAAAGTATTTGATAAATATCTCAAAATGTATGTTTAAAAATATATTTTATTTAAAAAAAGTGAATTTCTACACCAGCAGTCAGCAAACAGAACCGCAATCTGTTTGAATGGATAGAAGGGGCCAGACTTAACACTATTTTAACCAATGATGTGAGGCTGGGGCCAAAACTACCAGTTTGTCTGACCAATGGCAGACATATGGAGTGTTTGAAACATGTTTGAAAAGTTACATACTTCACTTCACCTTACCTTCACCTTTCTGTTTTATTTGGTCTATTAAGCTATTTTTGCCTTTGTTAGACAGGACGGTACAAAAAATAAAAATAAATAAAAATAAATGAAAATGGAAAAAAAAACGAGGGATAGAAAAGCAGACTGGAATATAACCAGACTCAAACCTGCATCCCCACAAGCATAACAGTAGTGGGCAAACATGTGCCAACTTCTGCACCAAAGCCCTGACAAGGACATTGTTTTTTTTACAGTACAATATGCTGACATTTACAATGAGTGTGTTACAAACTCATTAAAACTGGAAACGAAGACCTCACTGGTCAGTCTTTGTATTTGGAACTTGCTATTTCTATGAATTCAAGATTATATATATATATATATATATATATATATATATATATATATAGAGACACACACATGCATGTTTTTACATGTCCATGAACAATTTTCTCTCGATCCTGGAGAAAAAAGAAAAAAAAAAAAACTCACAAACCCCCCCACTCCCCTCCTTCCACCTTCCCCTTCCCCAGTTGTAAATTGGCTTGAAATTTAAATCCGTTACCTTGGATACAGGCACACACACACACACACACACACACACTCTTATGCACACATGCTCCTGAATATGATACTTTTTACTGTTAATAAATTGCAACAACATCTCAGTTATTTTCTCGACAAGCAGAAGGTCATAGCTGCTCCTTTTGCATTTCTAGAAGTTGTTAAACATTTCTGAAGAAAGTCTTTTGCACATGACGTGTGGACAGACGTGAAGTGATAATCTCACAGATATTCGAGTGCATTTCCCATTTCTGAGTGGAAAAATAGCTCAAGAGCATCATTTACTGGAGGCTTCTCATTATTTCTTCTTACATTAGCAAGCAAAGTGCTGATTTTCTCCGTAATCAAACCTTCCCCAGAATTTTCTAAGAAAGCTTCTTGATGATGACCCCTGAAAAGTTTATTTGAAGTCATCTGAAGAAAAGAAATAAACTCTTCTGTACATTCGGACTGAAGACAGACCTAAGTGGGGTCATAATCAGCCAATCATTGATTTGCAAAGGTTAAAAACTTGTGGTTCAGTTATTCCCTCGAAACAATTTGGGTTAATTGGCTCAACCAATGGTCTGAGTTTGGGGCGGGGCATTATTTTAGCTTTAAAAATATAGATTTTTAATATATAAAGTTGCAGTGAGTAGGAATTGATAACAGGACACCTTACATGACCCTGAACTTTAAAGCCACAACAGTGAACACAGCGTACGTAAATAACTCTGCATACGCAAATAATAGATGAGGTGAGTGGCAGGAAGATGGTACGAACATTTCTAGATCAGTCTGTACCATCTTTGCCTTGTCAATAGAATCACTTCCTCATCAGGCCATGCATATGCGTATGCAACTGGAGGAGCGTGTGTTTTAAAGAACAGGCTGTACTACTCACAGTAAAAAAATGCTAAACCACATGTCTGGTGTGTGAAGTGTGAAACCGCTAGTAAGCAGCAGCAGGGAAATTCACAAACATTGACAGGTTCTTTCCCCACCGCGCGCACTTATCATTCAGAAAAAAATACCTCAATATTAATAACATAAAACAGATATAAGCAGGCCCAGACAGATTCTGCAGCTTTTTTTTGGACGTTCTTTGCGGGTTTTGAATCTGCTGAATGAATTTAAACATGGTCAAAGCATATAATACACTAATTTGTAGCTAAAAGCATTGTCGACTCAGCCAAAATGTATTGTGATCCAAACATCTGAGACTACAGTGAAAATATGACATTTAAATTTGAAAATAAACTAATTGTGTGGTCTGGTCAACTTAAAATAAAGAAATATTTAAGATCACGCACTATTTGTAAGTCACTAATTTTGTGGGATTGACTATGTAAACTCAAAAGGTCAGATTTCCTTGCCTCCAGCTATGTGACTCTTCTGCAGTCCAGATCTGGTCAGTGTAGGGTGGTTTGGCGGAGTCTCACACTCATGAGCCGGTAGCATCACATGTGACGACACTGCGAGACAAAAACAGATGAAGTATGATGACTGATGTCTATTCTACATTAATACAAAACTTAAAATTAAAAGGACTGTATACCAACAAAACGTGAATGGGAACTAGGGGCTGTGAAGCTCCAAAGCATTTCAAATTTTCCAAGTCTGATAAAGTCAATAAAGCTGCTGCTATTAATATTAATATTAGAATCTTGCTTAACAAAATTTTGCTTGACAGTTGTGGTTACCATTCACTTTCATTTTTTGAAAAAGAGCAGTATAGACTTTTTGTTGTAAATAACTCTTGTTTTACACAGAAGAAAAAAACACATGGGTTTATAAAGGCATAAGTCCCTAAATACATTATAAGATTAATATTACCAATTAATATTATTTCCAAATTTAATTTCTATTTTTTAAATAAGCAACCTTTTTTTCATTATCTATCCCTTCTTTTACCTTTTTATCTCACTTACTACTAATCAAAATGTTCTAATGATTTAAACTGCAATATTTGTTATGTTGGCTTCATACAATTAAAAAAAAAATCATACTCTTTTCTCTGAAAATTAATAATTCTAAAAATGTAGTATAAGTATTAACTAAGCACTAAAATACTGTGCACTAAAATGCTTGCACATTAAATACATAACATGTACACAACATGTCATTTAAACATTTATTAAATATTTTTAGAAAATTAATGTTTAATAATCGAAGTGATGAGGGTCTATAGGGGTCCTCTTTGCATGTTACTAACTAAAGTTTTTCAATAATATTGCATATTTATATTAAATGTTTTGGTAACACTTTATTTTAAGGTGTCCTTGTTACACGTTACATGTACTTACTATTATAATAACAATAAATTATGCATAATTACATGCAAGTAACCCTAAGCCGAACCCTAACCATATAGTAAGTACATGTAGTTAATTTATATTACTCAGTACTTAAATGTATAATTACACTGTAACAAGGACACCTTAACAGAAAGTGTAACCAATGTTTCATAATTCATATTCAGACAACAAACAACATTTAATCCAGAAATTAAAAACATGTCACATCATAGACTTGGTGTATTCAAGTCATAGTTTTGCATGAATTGCATTTGAATAACTTATTAGACTGAGACAAAAAGTGAGCGTCACATCATTGACCCTTGTAACAAATGAGTGGGAGAGAAAATGGAGGGAGGTGATAATTGGAAACCCAGGGGGCAGAAACGAGCCCCGGATCAAAAGAGGACAGAAACTCTGGGGAAGAAACAGCCGTTAATAAGGGTGAGTCCTGCACCTGTGCCAAACACACTCTGACAAAAAGGCAAAGAAGCATGAATGAGCATCAGAGAACTTTCCATTATACACACACACACACACACACAACAAAAAAGCACAGGAAGACACATACTCACTGCTTCTCTGCAATCCATTCATATCACAAATACAGGAATGATGTGTCACCAGCCAACTGTTGCTCCATATAAAGAGATAAGCATGGTGAGAGTGGGAGGAGAGTGACCCCGTGACCTTAATTAGAGACGAAGCTCTCATTACCTTACCTAGTTCACTAAGTCATGAATGAATGGCCTTGATCAACACTGGGATACTGTTAACTCAGTTTCCTGTGAAACCTTTGTCGACATTACATGCAATAATTTTAAAAATTAAAATTTCATAACACACAAGGAAGGCTGTTGTTATTTCTGCACAATAGATTTCTTCCTTTTCATGCACATGATCTATTTTTAAGGTGTTACTGAATGATTACCACATTTACACAACAGAGTATTTTTATGATACTTTGAGGTAGGGTTATTTGTATTTATTTTATTTTTTTTATAGAATTGACAGCCAACGAAGAGGTGCTAGGTAGCCGGGAAATAAATTAAATAAATATATAAAACATTTCCAAAAATTACAAAATGTACTTTAAGTTGATGAGAACACTAACAGGAGGGGAAACGTATTATTTTGTGAAAACTGTTAATCTCAGATACGTTATCTATATATGTAATAAAAAAAAAATCAATGTGTGCATTTAAAATAATAATACATTTACATTTAATCATTTAGCAGACGCTTTTAACTAAAGTGGAATAAATAATAATATACAAAATAGTAATACTAATAAAGAAATACTGTATATTTATGTAACTAACATAACTATTTGACGAACTAGTTTTTAACAGAAAGGAAAAAAAT